GCTAAACTTCCCCCGATACTGGAATCATAGGGCTTTTAATACCCAACCCGCTTTGGAGTTTAACAACAGAGACCACTTGTTACCCTACTTATCAACTCTTATTTCACAACTGCCCTACACACTCTCATTAGAAATTCTCCTTGGACTGCATTCTGGACACAAGGGATTATAGGGTGTCAATATACCCGACACATGTTCCAAGCCTGCCCATAGGGAATTGGTTACAAGCACAGCAGTTATCTAGTGCATCTAAGTTCCCTTACCTATATTTAAAGTGTTGAACCAGATTTCAGATATTATTTACCTCAAATAAAAAAATAAAATAAAATAAACTGTTGAACTCACTTCAGTCTTAAATCACCTTCTGGTATTAATACAGAATTTTAGCTTAAAAAAAAGACTGAAAACTCTTTAAAATCACATTCTACACTAAAACAAAATGAAACTGAAAAACTCTTTAAAATCACATTCTAACACTAAAAACAAAATGTAGCTTAAAGAAAAAAAAGGAAAACTGAAAACTCTTTAAAATCACATTCTAACACTAAAAACAAAATTGTAGCCTAAAAAAAGAAAACTGAAAACTCTTTAAAATCACATACTAACACTAAAAAACAAAGTTGTAACTAAAAAAAAAACTATGATCAAAATTTTTACTATGAGAGAAAAAAAAAAGGTTCAGTACACATTCTATAGATTTACTATTGGCAGCCTGGGCAGAACTTACACCCTGTAGGCTTCTATAGAGCATGCGGTTGCTAAGTAATCACAACAATGGATTACAGCATGGGTTGCTAGGTAGTCACAACAATGGACTATAGCATGAGGTTGCTAGGTAATCACAACAATGGACTATAGCATGAGGTTGCTAGGTAGTCACAACAATGGACTATAGCATGAGGTTGCTAGGTAATCACAACAATGGACTATAGCATGAGGTTGCTAGGTAATCACAACAATGGACTACCGCGTGAGGTTGCTATGTAATCACAACAATGGATTATAGCATGAGGTTGCTAGGTAGTCACAACGATGGACTATAGCATGAAGTTGCTAGGTAACCACAGCAATGGATTACAGCATGAAGTTGCTAAGTAATCACAATAATGGATTACAGCATGAAGTTGCTAGGTAACCACAGCAATGGATTACAGCATGAAGTTGCTAGGTAATCACAACAATGGATTACAGCATGAAGTTGATAGGTGACCACAGCATGAGGTTGCTAAGTAATCACAACAATGGATTACAGCACGAGGTTGCTAGGTAGTCACAACAATGGACTATAGCATGAGGTTGCTATGTAATCACAACAATGGACTACAGCATGAAGTTGATAGGTGACCACAACAATGGACTATAGCATGAGGTTGCTATGTAATCACAACAATGGACTATAGCATGAGGTTGCTATGTAATCACAACAATGGACTACCGCATGAGGTTGCTATGTAATCACAACAATGGATTATAGCATGAGGTTGCTAGGTAATCAACATAATGGATTACAGCATGAGGTTGCTAGGTAGTCACAACAATGGACTATAGCATGAGGTTGCTAGGTAATCACAACAATGGACTACCGCATGAGGTTGCTAGGTAATCACAGCAATGGATTACAACATAAAGTTGCTAAGTAATCACAACAATGGATTATAGCATGATTCAATAGTCTTAAACCCCATTTCTTTAAAAGCAAATCAAATATTTACCTGGGATCAAATCCATGAGTCTAGTCCTGACATATCTGGAAATTCATCAATTATCCTTTTTATATCCGTCATTTATCTATGATTCTTTCGTCGCTTTCGACATCTTTCAACACCTTTTTATCCATTTCAACATCTCTCAACATTTTTCAACACCCTTTTAACACCCTTTTTCATTACCTTTCAATACCTTTCAACACTTTTTAACTCTATTTATTGCCTTCAACACACCTCTCAACACCTTTTCATCTCTATTCATTGCCTTCAACACACCTCTCAACACCTTTTCATCTCTATTCATTGCCTTCAACACACCTCTCAACACCTTTTCATCTCTATTCATTGCTTTCAACACCTTTCAATACTTCTTTCTGTCGATTTCCACCTTTTTCATCACTTTTCAACACTTTCTCATCACATCTCTTTCCATCTCTTTTAACACTTTTTTTAACATTTCTTTCTGTCGATTTTCGACATCCTTCAACACCTTTCTACCACATCTCTTTCCATCTCTTTTAACACCTTTCAACTCTTTTTCATCCCTCTGGAGTTTCCTCGAAACCCGTCATCGGGAACGAATCCTGATATTACGCTAGTCCACTTTGATATCTCAGGAGTCCTTTCTGGGAATCTGCTCCTCCCCTGCCACTTCTTATCAAAGCTAACGACCTACCCTCCTATTTGCAAGGATGAAATTTTCTCTTATTCTGTCTCCCCCCTGGTCTTCCCCCTTCCAAGAGATAAGCTTGTCTCGACGGTCTTAGAAATCCTGTCTAGACTGGTCAGATAAACACTTTACTGTTGTTATTGAGAATTTGACAAGTCACTCTTCTTTAGTACTGTCTCCCTCCAAACGAGATAGGGCAACCTTATCATGGAAAAATCAACATATATAGTCACGACCGTCATGGGCCGGCCGGCCGGTTCTGTCACGGATGCGCGCGCATCATCATTATGATCATTATCATTATCTAATGATAATAATAATAATAATAATTATTATTATTATATTATTATTATTATTATCCATCAACATATATAGTCACGACCGTCATGGGCCGGTTCTGTCACGGATGCGCGCGCATCATCATTATGATCATTATCATTATCTAATGATAATAATAATAATAATAATAATTATTATTATTATTATTATTATTATATTATTATTATTATTATCCATCAACATATATAGTCACGACCATCATGGGCCGGTTCTGTCACGGATGCGCGCGCACAGGGAGGTCACGTGCTCGCCGGCAGCCAACGGGCGCGCGCCGCCGGCATTACGTCATAGATTATAAACACAAGGTAATAAGGCCAAATTAAAAATAGTGTGTGATAAGGCACAATTTGGATTATCTACTTATATAATTGCCTTATTCTCTCTGTGTGAAGTTCACTGTGTGAAGTTCACGGATAGATTTTGGTCAGAATGGATAAAATAAAAAAAGTGTCAAGGGATGGGAATCGAACCCACGACCTTCCGCTTACCGGGCAGATGCCATGACCACTAGGCTACCCCGGACATACTTTTCCATTCACATTTTTATTTTTATATTTTCAAGACACACACAGTTTGGGGCGGGACGTTTCACAAGAGAGACATCCACGGCGCCAATTTATAATTGTAACGAATAGTATTTTAATTAAAACATTTTAAAAATATATACGCACTCGGGTAAAACCCGGGCGTTGCCCGGGCCATTCGTCTAGTAGAGATATATATGTACAAAAGTCGGTTGTCTTACAACTTCGCTGAACAATATCCCCTTCAAGAAATTATGCAAGCTTTTTACAGAATTGTAGGTTCTGGATGCTAACTATAACTTGGTATAATCTTATAAATATTGTACGCTGGTTGAATCAGACTATGCAATTCCCCTCGATCCAAAAGAAAAATTCTTAACATTGTTGACAACTCTTAACTCACAGAAAAGTAGCTCATAGAATTAGGTCGCTTATCAAAGACATATTCATGCGGGTGAATGGAGCCCTTCTAGTAGGTCATAAGTGTTCATCTGGGAACAGTTGATCTAGGTAAATTTTATTGTCATGCGTCTTTACTTTATGCAACAGGAGATGTCGCTCTAAAGGACTTTATCATTAGGGTTAAAAACTCGTTGCTCCTTTCAGAATGAAGTGGTTGTCAAAACATTGATGTGGAAGGAATCGTACATTTGACCAGTGTATATCGTTGAATTTAAACTATGCCGTCACTCTTATCGTCACCCAGATACTTTAGGGTGTTACTTGGTCTCTTGGCTGTTACACGCGAATCCCGTCCGGTATTCAATAAGATATCAATGGTGATCTTTGTCACGTCCAGGAGGCCATCCCTTATGCGACCAAATCAACTTTCTCCCGACTTATAATACCGTCTCATCGCGGTAATTGAAATTAACTGGAACCAAGGAGGAATCTTAATCTTGTATATCTTCGGTAATTTTATTAGTTCAACTGTCTTCTCCATATCTTCTTAATACACTGGTCTGACACACTACACTTCCCTTAATCAGTAGAAACTTCAATCAATCCCAATGAGAAGGTCACTCTAAGGCGTCAGTTCCTTGTTAAACTCATGTATGGTTCCAAAAAAAAAAAGAAAACTCATATATTTCACATTGGTATCTGCTCCCACTGTTGACAGTATCCAATATGGGATCTTTCTATTTTATTTGTTCAACTGTTATTAGTCGGATCACTGTAATCCTTTTTCATCATTACTCCTAGACCCCCGCGCAAACATTGTCTTTGACGTGACTAATTCCTTAAAGTTCTGCTTCTTGAACACCCTGTTCGTTAGAATTGTCTTAATAAATCATTGGAGTTATCTGCGATGAGTGGATTGAGCCTCCTTATCTAGTTTCCACTCTAACTCCAGGATCTAGACTGCCCAGACCTTTTACGAAAAAAAACTATATCTAAGCACTATTGTCATGGAAAGAAACCACACGTCTGATTCACGAGCATAATTAAAGCTTGCCTCTATAAAACAAGATAATTATAAGAAATATGTAAATTCATATAATTAAGGGATAAATCACGATATGGGTTACTGGGATAAGTATAAAATAAAGGAATAATCTTAAAGATGATATGCGAATTATATATATAATTATATTTTCAATAACTTCACGAAGTTTAAAAAAATGTTATTTATGAAAACATGACCAGGGGTTTCCCCGATTAAATGCTTTTATTCAAATACTATTCGTTACAATTATAAATTGGCGCCGTGGATGTCATTCTTGTATAATATATAAATGAGTTAAAAAAAAAAAAAAAAAATGCATCGGCCGGGAATCGGGGAACGCGGGGCGCCCGCGTGGCAGGCGAGCATTCTACCACTGAACCAAAAGCAAACGGTGACAGAATTCATTTATCGTCGCGACCAGTGCTGCGCCCAAGCGATAAAAGACTGGAACTAACGCTTTTTGGTTTTTTATTTTAAAAAAAAAGCACATTAACTTTTTTAGTGTTTTGAATAGCCTATATGTTAAACGAAATCTTCAGCTACCTACATGCGAAATTCCATAATGATTGAGTTAGTAGATTTTGCGTGAAGCGATAACAAACATCGATTTCGCATTTCATTTTTATAGATATAAGGATTCTATCGTTTAAAACTAAAATAATAGACTAAATATGGGGGTGGTCCCTATGCACATCATATCCGTACAATATAAAATTGAAATATGCTAGTCTAATTGCGAGGGAGGTTAAGTTAAAAATAATGCATATTCACTAAACGCTAGTAAAATCTACTTATATAATTGCCTTATTCTGTCTGTGTGAAGTTCAATGTGTGAAGTTCACGGATAGATTTTGGTCAGAATGGATAAAATAAAAAAAGTGTCAAGGGATGTGAATCGAACCCACGACCTTCCGCTTACCGGGCAGATGCCATGACCACTAGGCTACCCTGGACATATTTTTCCGTTCATAAAGTTAATAATAAAATAATAAAATAAAAATCGTTTGAATATTAATATATACAGTTATCAGCGTCATCAAGCAACAATTCTTAATAATCAATTCTGTCACCGTTTGCTTTTGTGAATGGAATAAATACCCAAATATGGCCATTTCTCATAACCATCGGTGGTTCAGTGGGCGGGCGGGCGGCCCAGGTTCGATTCCCGGCCGATGCATTTTTTTTTTTTTTACAATTTTTAAAACTCATTTATATATTATACAAAGAATGCCATCCACGGCGCCAATTTATAATTGTAACAAATAGTATTTGAATAAAAGCATTTAATCGGGTAAAACCCGGGCGTTGCCCGGGTCATTCGGCTAGTATATAAATAAATGAATACTGCTTTATCACTTAATGATTAAATTTGGGCATGACTGTGGGAATATTTTACTAAACCAATATATAAAAGAAATAGGCGGATTACAAATTCAAATAAACTAAGCTAGAAGGTCCATGGGTAAGTAAGACTAGACAGATACAATTATGAATCGAAGCGGACACTTATGTCTGAACATTATATTCATATAACGACAAAAAATTACGCAAATACTTTGAGGTAAATAGTGTTTTCGAAAAAAAATTATATGGCGTAAACACTTTAAAAGAGATAGCAGAAAAACTCCGAAATTACGTTTATCTTAGTAAAACTAAATATCCTCGTGATTACAAAAAATAAAATAAAAAACAATTGGATTATCAAAAAAAAAATACGTTTAAACATGTCTCGCGAGATCATTCAGATGAATAAATTTAAAAAATAGTATATATAAAAAAATCTTTATACTTTGGTATGATCTAAATAAAAAAAATTATATGGCCTATACATTTTATATGAGATAGCAGAAAAGGCTCCGAAATTATGCTTATCTTAGTAAAACTAAATACCCTCGTGAAAAAATAAAAAAAATAAACAATAGGATTATCAGGAAAAGAGAACATATGCTTAAATATGTCTAGCGAAATCCTTCAGACGAATAAAATTTAAAAATAATATATGCAAAATCATTATACTTTGGTATAATCTGAATAAAAAAATTTATATGGTCTATACATCTTACAGGAGATAGCAGAAAAGTTTAAAAGAGGATGGAATAGTTTAAGAGTGTATACCTCTCGCGTCCGCGAGAGGTAGGGCGGACACTTACTTTTCAGTTCAGAAGGCAGCTACCCCCCTACAGATGTGTCCCTAGGGGCTCTATATTTGGATTTTGTGGGAAGCCCTGAGGGTGTGGGAAAAAACATTGTTCTAGGCCTAACTTCGCGTCCCAATATTTCAAGATCCATATAAAAGGAAGAAATTATTTCTCCAACATTTGAAACTTAGAATTAAAATGTGGTACACACCAACCATAAATTATTCCTATTAATTCGTGAATTTGAAAAGGTTAAAATAACGTATACGCTATACACAAATATAACTCGTGAAATAAAAAATAAAAAAATTAACGTATACGCTAAGCTCAAAATATAACTCGTGATATTGAAAAAGTTAAAAAATTTAACGTATACGCTAAGCACAAAATATTTATAAATGCGTGAAATTGAAGAGGTCAAAAAAGAACGTATACACTAAATATAAGAGAACGCATATCGGCCATAAATTATTTCTATTAGCTCTAAAAATTGAAAAAAAAAAGTTAAAATAACGTATACGCTAAACACAAAATATAACTCGTGAAATTAAAAAAAAAAATATCGTATACACTAAAGCATAAAAATACCTTTCCAACACGTGAAATTGAATGGTTAAAATAACGATTATTTCTTTTAACACGTGAAACTGAAAAATTAAAAAAAATAACGTGTACACTAGAAATAAAGTTAAAATAACAATTAAAAGGTTAAAATATCGTATACACTAAAGCACATAAATATATTTTAGGTAGAGACATAATTTCTTATCTCAGGGGCGGGCCTACTTTTCACAAAAAGGAAATATTTTTAATTGTGATTTTTCGGTAATTTCGCCCCCACGTTGGGCATCCATTGTTACGTCTATTTTGTACATGTCGAAATACGTTGTATTTCGTTCTATATGTTGTAATACTTTGCCACGGCAAATACAAAAAAAATAATAATAATATACGAATAATATAAATATTCAAATGTTCACACACTTTCGAGTTTAGAAGTTTCTTTGGTATTTCAAATCCTTCTAAGCAAAGTCCAACCTCCGTATTATAACATGGTTTCACGTGTAAACCTTAAAGTGGATTAACAAAGAAAACTTTTTAATACAACAATGTTGGTATAACCATCACCTTTACGCCTTTGAATAACTCACACACTCCATTTTTGTACACTTTATGGGAATTAATGTTTGGTCTGATATAAAGCACAAAAAAAAAAAAAAGTAAAAAAAATGAATAATACCAAATTTTATTATATCTAACACTCTATAATTTGGTGCAAAAAGAAAAAAAAATAGGATTACATGCAAGACAAAAGGTACCTCACTAATGAACGTTTCTTCACTTCTAATTCCATTGAATTATGAAAAGAAATATTCTATTTACTATATATATTATATAGTAGAGTTTACCGCCAAAAAAAAAAATATCACCTATTAAAAACTATATATGCCTTCTAACCTATAAAAGAGTCTTTTTGGTCCACACAAGAAAATTTTTTATAGGATATAGCTAACTTACCATTCCTGTCTATTCTTCTACTCACCAAAACCTAGGCCATCTATCTCAGCTTGAATCTCGACCTCCATCCCCATCGCCTTTTTTTGGTTCCAACCCCTCCAGTTATTCGATCTCCACTGACTAAAAATTTGAAAATAGCGTCCCTCCAAAAAAATTTATCATCTTCTTTTTACAGAGTAAAAAAATAAATAATTTCTCTGAATATATTCGAAAATAGAAAAATTAAAAATTTATTCTATGGAATAAATAATTCTAAATTGATAATAAAAATAATAAAATGTATCAGTTCGCTTTCTTGAGACTTTAATTTAGTAATTTCTTCTTTAAATATTTTTATTTTGTTATCTTTTAAAAAATATCTAATCTATCTAGAATATATATATATACTAGCGGGTGTACCCGGCTCCGCCCGGGTTTTACTCGAGGGAATGTTTGTAGTCTAGTATGTTGATATAATAAATCTATCTGAATATTAGGAAAGGTCAGGTATTTTTTTTTTGTAGGGTGATGCTCTGAAAAAGAATGCTATACCACTTTATCACTAAACAAATTGGCGAGTCAAAAATAAGCAACCTAAACAATCCATTAGCTTTGCAAGATAATAAAAGAAATAGAGAAATGCTTGCAAAATTCTCAACACAAATCAAAATCTTTAATCCTCAGAAGTAATGTATATTAGGTAGGATGAGGTTTATTTTGTTTCTATTACATTACATCATCTTTAAATCTCAAAGCAGAGCAAAACTGGCATACCCGAGACATTTGGCCTATATCGACAGATGAATCAGCTTTATAATCAATATGGGCATTATAATGCAAACGTGAAAACGGCTTATGAGTCCAAAGCTGAATACGCTGAACAGGAACTTGCATAGTTTGTGTAGCTGCGACGCGGGCTTCAGAATACCTAAGACGGCGAAGCGCACGACGAAGAAGTGGTGTCTCAATAGCTCTAGCATTCCTATATCTCCTGGAAGCAGCCTTATTCCTACCAAGTAAACGTCGGCTGTGGCGAGTCATATTCTGAAAAAAAAAATTAGATTTAGATTAATAACAAAAGCTTCAAAACCAGCAATTTCTAAACAAAGCATAAAAATATCCTGTCTTTTTGAGGTAAAAATCAAAATTTTTAATTTTTTTATTCAAAATAAATAATTATTACCAAAAAAAATGATGTACAAAACCAGTTATCATTAAAAAGCTTCAAAAATAGACCAACCGCTGGATACGGTAATGAAAAAGCATGCTTTTTTGAGGTAAAAAATAGAAATAATTTGCTAAAATACAAATACAACCCCTATATGTTAAAAAAACTCTAAATAATCTAAATATAAAATATTTAATCAAATAAATTAAAATATCTTTAAAAAAACTTTGAAAAAGGACTTCAAAAAGACAAATAAATGAATCCGTAAAAGAAATTCCTTGCTTATTTAAAAATATAAATAACCATTTTTTAGATACAACCCATATAAACTGGATTTAAAAGATCAAAGCAATAATTAAAAAATTCAATAAGAAAATTTAAAAAAGGACCTCAAAATGACCCATAATTAAACACAATGAAATTGCTTGCTCTTTTCTGCGATTAATAATAAAAAACCCAAATATTTAAAAAAACACAACAACTATATGTTATAAATACCACAAATAATTTGTATTTGAAAGATCTAAATAATTAAATAAAAAATTCTTGAGAAATATTTGAGAAGGGCCTCATAATGACAATC